GCTCATTACACATTATATCATGCTGTCCTTCCCAAAGATTTATGGAGGGTTGCTCAGTGCAGTCAAAAAATTCAGTGTTTTTTTTTGTTTTTTTTTTTTTCAAATCTTTTTTTTTTAATTGGTTCAATATTAACTAGTTAGGTTTTAAATTAATTTTATAAATATTATCTTCTTGTAATATCAGTAAAATCTTTCAACAGTAATTGTTTATTTCTTTAGGTACAACCTACTCATGTATAGGAATGTATCATGCAGTGTCTGGCAATGTGACTGTCTTAGTCACTCAGGATGGACATAAGTGTATACCTAGTGTAGTAGCAATAGTGTAAGCTCATTTTTAATGTAATCATAACATTCCAATTTGATGATATTGATACTTACATGATAGTATTATTTTAGTGAACTTGATTTTGGCAAGGAATAATTGACTTTACAGTTCCTCACTTACTTACATATTTAGGTCTACATTTTCTTCTGTATAAATTCATTTGGGCATTGATTCATATCATATATATGTCTTATTATATTAGTTGACCACACTCTCTTACTAGTAATTGATAGTCTAATGTTAGTTTATTAAAAGCATATATGCAGTTCTATATATTGTATTATAGAAGAAAAAAAATATAGAACTTAAATTTTTATTTATTCTTCAGAGATAATGAAATTTTGGTTGGCTACAGAGCTGTAGCACAAGCAGAACATAATCCATCCAATACTTTATATGATGCTAAGCGATTTATTGGGAAAACCTTTACAAAAGAACAACTTGCAGAAGCACAGAAACAATATCCATTCAAAGTTTGTGTTTTTATTATTTGTTATTGTGTGACTCTTTACATTGAAAATAGTTGATCATATTTGTCCAATTTTTAAAAATTACAATTTATCTAAATGCTAATATTTATTATGAAACTAGCTGGTTATGACCCGCGCCTGCAGGCCTTAGTTTGGGTATTTCTGATCTACTAGATTGAATTTAGATCTATGTCAACTTGGAGAGTGTTCCCTTCACATTTTTTTTTATTTTGCCACGAAAATAAAAGTAGAGTATGAAAATGGGTTTACCCGTTCAGCTAACAAATTCATATCCAATAAAAATTACTGTGAAAACGGGTTTACCGATTTGTTAAAAAGTTTTGTTATTTAGTAGAGATACAATTAGGTACTTTTTCTCTATTTTTATGGCACTCCGGTTGTGGGAGGGACATTAAATATACACTACAGTCTCCGCCATAAGGAACTTCCATTTCCCATGTTATATCAAGATTGGTCAAACAGTTTTGATTTCTATTCGGGACATACATGCATACACCTTACTTTCTACTTTATATATTAGATGAACTGTTGGTACCTAAAAGTTTTATTCTTACTTGTAAATTTGAAGCAAAGCAATTATTGATAACAGGTAAGAGTGATGATTTATAATTTAATTTTTTTCACAGTTAAAAGCAGACTCATCTGGTATGGTTAGTTTTGCTGTTATTGTGAATGGTTCAGAAAGACTAATAACACCGGAAGATGTTGGTGCATACATTATTAAAGAGCTTAAAATGGCAGCAGAAAAAAACCTTTCTGCTCCAGTTAAGATGGTGGTCATGTCTGCTCCTGCAGAGTTTGATGATTTGCAACGTAACTTTACAACTAAAACTGGGACTCTAGCAGGTTGGAATGATATGGTTTTCTGTATTTAAAAAACTTATGCTAACTAATTTTTTTCCCTATACAAAATGTTGATGAGAAACTAAAATTCTAATGACTAACCCCTTTTTTGTTTTACTTTTACCCTTGGTGGTGTTAGAGGATAATACAATTTTCTACTTATTTGTGAACCAATGTCATGAAATATTTTTTTTTTCTCTTTATTGTTCTGCAGAATGCTAGTAATAATTATTCTCATGTAAATAAACAAATTATGTCATAATGTCATTATTTTTTTGCAATAAAAAAAGAATACAATATTTATAACTTTGCATAGATAGTAAAAACTAGAAAAGCTATTTAATAATGTATTTCTCCTTTCTGGCAAAAAAAAAAAATTTATAATGATTCAGAAATCTCATTTCTATCGATAATAGATTGTTCAGTTTGTTTTCAAGTAAGAAAAAAAAACACCACCATAAGATTCTTGAAGTTTAATTACTTATTCTCCTGTTTACTCTCAGGTGTCAATGTCTTACGTGTGATAAATGAACCAACAGCAGCTGCCTTAGCCTATGGGTTACATAAAAAATCTAACCTTCACAACGTCCTTGTTGTAGACTTGGGCGGTGGTACTCTTGATGTGTCATTACTTAATGTTCAAGGAGGAATGTTTCTCACACAGGGCATGGCAGGTAAGCTTTTGAACATCAGCCATTTCTTTCTATTTAATAGTTATATTAGCAACCTTATGTACTAGAAGGTTATTGTTTTTTTATAACTTTTCATGTTCAACAATGTTGACATTCAGTAATGATGAAATTTAAAATAAACAAAGCAAACAGACCTAAAAGTAATATGATTATTTCTAATTGAAAACATTTTCAGATATTTCTGAGAATTTCTGCTGTTAAATTTTTAGTCTTGTTATTTTCTTGCAATATTTAATATTTTATACTGATTTTCTTTTAGCATTGATATAATTATTGAAGCCTTATTATTTCTTGATTTTCTAGAAACTAGATTTTGCTGAATTTATAATAGATTTTTCAATTGGTGACATTTTTATCATTTTTCTATTAGGCAACAATCGCTTAGGTGGTCAAGACTTCAATCAGAGATTAATGGATTATCTACGGTCTCTTATCCAATCCAGGTTCAATCAAATATTGGATGATAAAGAAGACATCCAGTCTTTACGGTTGCATGTTGAAGAAATCAAACTGAATCTCACATATCACCCTCTGGTTGTCCTCTCTCTACCTCTTCATTCTCTAGGAGGTCAACTGTTTACAGAAGTGGTGACTAGAGAACTCTTTGAAAAATTAAATTTTGATTTGTTCCTCAAAGTTCTGGAGCCTATAGACAAAGTATTAGAAGCAACAGAGACGAGGAAAGATGAGGTGGATGAAATAGTTTTAGTCGGAGGCTCCACCAGAATTCCAAAAGTGATTTCCTTAATCAGCGAGTATATGAATAAAATTCCCAACACGTCCATTGACCCAGAGCTTGCAGTAGTGACTGGTGTTAGCATTCAGGCTGGTATACTAGGAGGAATGTGGCCATTGACTGTAAGTGCAGTTGAGCTGCCAACCAGAGTCAACAAAATTCATGTTCATTAAAGGAAAACAAACTGCTGTTGAAAATGTTTTCACTGCTCTCTCTCTCTCTCTCATTTAGTTGTCTGATCTAAATGTTGAGATGAGTTTTTTTGTTTTTTTTTCCTTTTTTGCCTATGATAGTTATGTTGAATTATGATGTTATAATGAGCATATGAAGACCATGTTGTAATAACCAGGGTTGTCACTTTTTTGAAACAATCAAATTATTGTATACTTGATAATACACAAGTAGTCAGTTAATATTTCTGATAATATTCAAATAATCTAACTTTTTGGTCTAGATAGATCTTTTATGAATTACTTACATCAAATAAAGGGACTGACTTTTTTTTTTGTAAAATATTTAGAAACAGAGAATCAAAAAATGAAATGTTCATCTAATTATATCTGAAAAATATTTCCTTACTACCTTTTGATCAAAAAAAAAAATTATTTTGTTAGTATTTATTTTTGTTTTCCTTGTAATGAAGATCACATCAAAACATTTGTTATAAAGTCTAAACTTGTTTGGCTTTAATTTAAGTTGGAGGCAAGTCAGTTATTGGAGCCTATGTGTATATTGGGTACTATAGTTATGTTTGAAAGATATTTAAATTAAGACTAGTAGATTTCTGTGTGTGTGTGTGAGACTGATTATGTCTGTGGCATTTTACAATCTTTTCCCTTTGCAACTTCTAGGTCTGTACTTTCTTTCACATGTCAGGAGACTAGGAAACTTGTACGGGTAATTAGCTCTCCAGTTACATTGATGATGTCACAGCAGTTGATGTTTTAGTAAAATATTTGTTTATCTCAAATGGGAATGGAATGGTTTCAATCATTATTAAATTTTGTTAAAAGGGTATTCTTGAGAAAAGAGGGTTAGAGAATATGAAGCATCTAAATTGCCAGTAAAAATGTAACATTAAACTTAATACTATAACTATCCCTAAATCTTAGTTCTGCAACTACGCAATGCAAATACTAAGCATAAGCATCACCAATAAAACAATACCAGGATATTCTTGACAAATGAAAAGTTTCTGGTAATTCTCCATAATTCCTGTATTTGTTTTAATACTTTTGTTTTCTCCAAATATTTGTTACATTCTAAGTTACTTTTAATTCTAAAGATAAAATTAGTAACAAGTGTAAATATATGAAACAGGTGCTGGTCATTTTGTTTATTTATATTCATTAGTTAAAGATGTTATATTCTCACCTATTTTGTTCATTGGGCTGTGATGGATACATGGTGTAAGGAAACTATTTTGGATAAATGAGTAGTAGAAACACATTACTTTACATTACATTATCAGAAGTGCTTATTTTAGTATCCACAAGTTAAAATCACTGTATAGATTAAAGATTAAATGTGTTTGACTATTATTATGATAAAGAAAATATGTGAATGGAGGCCACAAGAGATTGACTGGTAAATCAACATGAAAAAAAAACTATTTATCATAGATTTTTAAGTACTAAATAAATCTAGTGGTGGCAGATGTGATGCTCAACACCCTGGCTGTGATATATTTTTTTTATTTTTGAATGCTGTTTGTTTGATTGTTATTTATGTATACACATAACCAGCAATTCAGCTAATACAATCCATTACCATTGATTTGTGTCTGCCAGTGATTGGTATTGAACGGTGTTACCCTAGATTGATATTGAACTGTGTGCCTGTCAGTATGTCTGTTATGATGACTCCTTAGATTGATATTGAATTGTGTGTCTGCCTGTGTGTCTGTTATGATGACTCCTTAGATTGATATTGAACTGTGTGTTTGTCAGTGTGTGTGTTATGATGACTCCCTTGATCGACATTGAACTTGGGTAACTGATCGCTAGTTTTAAGAAACATTTTTTAGACAAAAGTATAATGTAGTTTTTTGTTTTTGTTTTGATAAAACAGTAAACTAGAGAATCTTTAAAATTCTGTTACATACTTTTAATTACAACTATAAGGACTTCAACACTGGTTCTATGCAGATTAGGCAGATTCATTTTTTTTTTTAACATAAGACTTTTTTTTTCTCCGAAGAGAAAATGTTTTATTTATAGTACCATTGTTTTCATTTTCACCTAATTACTTGAATTCAAATTAGTTTTCAATACTTTAAATATGATTGTAATCTTCATGAATATATTTTCTTAACACAATGTCATGGTGGAGGCTACAATCGTAATCTTTATTGAACTAGAATGACACAAATTCTGTGAACTGTTGAATCCTATTCACTCTATTTGTGTGTCTATCTCAATGTCACTGTTTAACTAGTTCAAAGCCATAAAGTCTTTTTCTGGGTTATCAGCCACCATCAGTGGGCTTTTAGTTTTTCTTGAGAGGGGGGGGGGGGGTCCCATTAATTTTGATTGGGGTTTCATTGCATTTCATATTTGTAACATGATCTCTGTGTTTTACATTTTAAACAAAAATGTCTTTTTTTATTTCTCTTGACAAAAATGTTTGAAATATTTTTTCATACTTGTAATTATCACAATTGATATAAAACTAATAAGCACACACATATTAGAAAAATGAATCTCCAAGTGATAAAACCTTTACTTCAATATGTAATGTATTACCTTGACTTTCTATAATGGGAGCAAGGAGTTTCAGTTTTCATAATACAGTTGAACTAAGTCTCAATGTTGGCTGTGGAAGTTTTCATTATAGTGCTCCATCACTTATGGTGTCTTATAACAAACACACACACAAACTTGACAAAAAAGATATTTGAGACAATTAAATATAAAATCGTCTATCTGCCTATATTACTGTCATCCATGACTTCTTTTTATAAATGATTGTATGTAATGGTATGTTCAACCAAAGTAGAAAAACAACATTTATAATCAACTGTTTTATTTGGGCATGTATTGCACTTATGAACTTTAGTTTCAAATCAATAAGCTAAAATGTTTTTTTTATCATAACAGCGCATGTATGTTGTATGCTGCAATGTTAGAGTCTATTATTTTAACATTTGATCATAGGATACTTCATAGTACTTTTGAGCAGGACAAACTGTTACAATGTATTGTACAAACTGACCACTGAGGTGCATATATGAGAGCTGTATGTATGTGTGTTTGATGATTGTGGTTTATCGGGCACGACGTGGCCTAAAGTGTGCCGATGTGCCAAAAAACTCAAAACCCTGATAGTGGTTTATATCATTACATGTAATAGTTAATACATGAAAACTTGTCAATTCATTCCAGTTCAGAAAATGTCTGAATTCAGTCCTGGTAGTGAGATGATTTCATTTTAAATAGTACAATGTTCTGAAGACAAAGAAATCTGTTCAGCTTTTTGATTCCATTAAAACTAGTCATTAAGATTTCTTGAGTTGTTGTTTAACTGTGTAAATTGTAATATTTCTTGTCCTTATTAACTATAACTTACTTATATAGAATGTTATATCAACATTCTTTCATTTATGACCTTTTCATTTGTAATGGGATGGCTTTCAAAGCAGGATAATATTTAAAATATTTAATCCAGCATTTTATAGTCGGTATGGATGTCTGGACTTTTATGAATTAGACTGGATGTCTGGAGTTTCATGACTTTATAGACTGGATGTCCAGACTTTCATTACTTAGACTATTTTGTTAGTCATAAAGAAAACTGTTTCGTATGTTGTTACTGTCCAGGATTTATTTTATATTTACCCTTTATAAACATGAAATGACCACTTTAAATCATTTCTGAAAACCGACATCCTGCAATTCATATATTCAGCACGAGTCATTTTGTATTAATGCTGGACTTGGGTAAACTATAGCCCTCTCTGACTTAAAGCCTGCGACAACTCCTGTATCTCTCTAATACACGAGCCAGGGGAAGATGGATGCGCAAACCCTACAATTATGGTCTGCTTCCCCTGGAGAGCAACGAAAATAGAGTTGTCCGCCCTTCCTACCAGCGTAGAACTTTGAACAAGTTTAAAACATAGGTAGGCGATGGTGAAAAGAGTGATGCGAGTCACTCCTTGATAACTGGAGGTCAGGCAGCAGACGATAGTTATCACGTCTTGCTCTTTTACAGGCAGTCCAGAAGTCTTGGCTAGAATTTCACCTTGAACAGTGGCCACAAATGCTTGACTAACTTTACCTGTTCAAATAATAATATTGAAGATCTTAGGAAAAAAATAATTTCACATACAGTCACTGACTTGTCTTCGACTTCTTAATTCCATATTAAAGAATTTCATAAACTGCTTCTTTTGGTATCCCATTTATGTTATCCCTCTAGCGTCGTAACGTTCCATCTCTCTTCAAATACAAAAAGAAAACCTAATAAAGTACTCAGAAAGATTCAAAGATAAAGGCATATTCATTGTTCCATATATATGCAATGACAAATTTGTACTAATACTCCTTCTTCCCTAGTACTATTAGAGTATGAAATGGGTTTCCTGTGGCAGTCAAGATAGGCGGGCCCAGACTTTTGCAAAATCCCTCTGCAACTTAGATATGGAGACCTGGTAAGGGTTTGGCCCTTTTAGGGGTGGGGAATGAGCACTGAATTGTAATTCAAATGCATCATTCAGGTAAAAATAAAAACAGAGCGCTCAGCATAAGGTGTGTACGTCAGATGGCGAGATCCCTTTTACCCTAAAACAAATTCATAAATAATATGCAAATAAAAGGAGCTGTAACATTTAACGTCTATTCAAACAAGTCCATAAATAATAGACAAAGATGGGACTCTAACCTCTCTGCAGGAGCATCTCAAGCAAGCACTCTAAAGATGACTTCAGCATGTCGTCTGTCATAACGTCATCATCACCAGCATCCTGATGCATCTGGTTTGAGCAGAGCTCTTCTCTCTCACGAACGATAGTTAAACTAGGATTACACCGAAGGATTGTTGGTAGAGTTTGCGTCAACAAGTTCAGCTTCCTAAAAGACTCTTCTGGAAAATTGGTTGAAGCTTCATTTTCTGGAAGTACTTGTGTCATTGTGATCGTCGATGTGCCTTTTTGACAATTCAAACCCTTTTCTGCTGTAGTAAATGACGTCTGGCTACTTTTGGGGTGCGAAGTGCTATCGAAAAAAGCACTGAGTTCGTTTTCGTTTGGTGCACTTTTAGTGTCGATTATGACTTCAGATTGGCCTTGACCTTGCCGAACATATTTATCTAACCTAACACGGTTATTAGGGCTGGCATTGTAATACTTAATAGATTCATCAGCGCTTTGACTTCCCTTAATAATAAAATAATCAGCATTGATCTTATTGTGGAATTCTAATGTACAATTTGGAGTCTCACCAGTTTGGAAGGGAAGTTGGCTTTCCGTTGAAAAGCTATTCTCGTCAGTTTGAGCATTTGTGTCAGTCCTGGGTGTTTCGACATTGGAATCTATTTTTCTTCGCTTAGAGTGTTTTTTAATCTGCACTTGATTTGTTATTCGTAAATCACTTTCACTGATAAAGCGATCTTTACTGTCGGGCATAGATTTGGATACACAATCACCTTTAATGAAATGTTCAGATCTTTCGTAAGTTGTTATATTAATGTTTTCTTTGGGTGAGGCAGAGTTAAACCGTTGAAGATTGTCGTCATCTTCATGGATACTTGAATTGAAGACGTTGACTAATCCGTAAATATATTTACTAAGCTTTGACCAAACGGTACCCAAAATATCATAGCTTTTTTTTGGTTCGACATCTATAGGCCTACTGGTTCTTGAAACATCTACTACTTCCAGTTCATGTAAAGTCTTTTTATTTATCTCATTTTTGTCATACTTTTGTTGCTTTAATCTACTTTTTATTTTCATACTCTGCCTGTCGTTAGATTTCAGAGGAACAGGCTTAGATTTGAAACGAACGTATCGTTCATTTTTTAATTGAGAACCACAATGTCCTTGACTTTCGCTAAGCAAACTCGTAGGCATACAGCCATTAGAATAATCATCATTGTTGAACAACATTTCTGGCAAAAGAAGAACCTGAATGGACTGGTTTTCTAAAGTTGCTTCAAGCAAGATATTGCTCGGATAATTTTCTGTTACTTTTGCCATTTTATCCAATGCACTGTTAGCTTCTTCGTGCTCGGGTTGAACACTTAAAGTTGTATCTGGCAAGAGCGTATTATGTAAGGTTACTGTCAAATTTAGACTGCCATTTTCAACTGTCTCTTTAGGGTAATCAATACAGTTTTGCAGGGGAAAATCTAATGGAACTGTCTCGGCATATTCTATGTTTTGAGTCGTTTCTGTCTGCTGTGAATGTATATTGTCGTGAGTTAAATAATTGTCAATGTCCTCGTTTTGTTGAGAATGTTTTTCACAATCCAGACTAACAGCAAAGCGGTCATTATTTTTAATGATCCCTTCATTGCTAAGTGAAAAGACTTTTTCAATGCGGTCATCTTTAAAGACGTTAGATGAACTTGTTTCGTCAAACTGTAGATCATCAATGACCACTCTTACAGACGGCATCTCTTTGTTTTCTTCTCCTGGTTCTTCGCTAGTTTTGCATTTATTAAATATACCAGAAAAATCGTCATCCTGCAACCCAGATAAATCAAAATTTGTAAAGGTACATTTCTGGCGATGTGAATCAATACATTCAATTGCTCGATCTGTTTCTGTATTAGATTGGCACTTTGCAATAGAGTGACCAACCTTATCTGCGCCATTACTTGATATTGATTTTGACTTTTTAAAATTTAATGACTCAATATTAACATCGACGAAACGTTTCCACGAAGTCAAAGGATTTCTTGTCAAGAATTTCAGTCTCCTGCTACTTTCAATATTTGCTGCATTTCGTACTTCAGAAATGTCTAGGTTAGTGCTTTTGTTGCTCATAATGTCCTCGCTTTTATGGGTGTTGATATATTTAAAGTTTTCAGACTCGCGTTGAACTAAATGACAGACATCATTAGTAAATGTCTTTGAAAGAAACGTTTCGTCTTTAAAGTCAGCAATCCCATTGTCATCTAACAATCTTTCGCACTTAAGTCTTTGTTGACTATCGTTACTTACTGATTCTATTACTTTACGTTCTGATACAATTGTTACAGTCGCTATGCCTTTGTCTCTCTGAAACTCTAAGTTATGAAATTGTACTAACGGGCTTAGACAATCGGACACCTTAGAATCCACATCATCTGAGTAAGTGGAATGCTCCTCGCAGCTAGCATCAAGAAACGATTGACATCTAGAAAAACTGTTAGGAGAAAACATTTTTGTATAAATGAACTTCGTCGCCTTTGTGTCACTCAGATCATCTATCTTCTCAATGCAGACAGCTTTTACTGTTAATGGATTTTCATTTTCAAACCCATTGCTTTTAAATATGTGCTTGTTGTCACTGAAAGGAATTATGACTTCGGTATCAGGAAGACCTGTTGGAGGAGAGCTTACAATGTGATTGGAAACATTGGTGCTTTCTTCCAGAATATCTTCGGGAAGATCATTCATTTTCGGTATTTCCTGGAAGTTTTCAGCTGCTTCTTGTTCAATGGTAGTATGAGAATCGAAATCAGTCACAACATTTTGATCACTGTAATGGACCGTGCTATTTTTAGGTAATTCTTTGCTATCGGTTGTGAGAGTCACCTCGTTCTCATCCCAATCACTTTCGTAATCTGTATTAGTTTCTGCACCTCCGGAATACCTGAATGAAAGCATAGTAACGTCGCGTGTCGCAAAGCCACTGTCGTCAATTTCGGAATCGTTAAGATGGACGAAATGTATGTCATCGCGAAGCATTGTTTTCTTGAAGGAATGGTCGCTGCTTACTTCCGTTCTTTTTGTAAGATCTGAAGTCTCGTCGTCTGACTCGTAACGTTTTGGGTAGTCACGTGGATTAGGTGGTGACCATTGCGGAACAGACATGGAATTTTTCTGATTACTGGCATCTAGACACGTGATATTACCGTGCTTCTGACGAAGCTCGTTTAGTTGGTCGACTGTCTTGTGATCTTGATGATTTCTGCTAAGCGTTTTTCGACTTGACGTTATTTCCCCTTGAACATATTCTTTGCATTCGTCAAGTTCATGGACGTTTCTAGCTTTACCGAACAAGCCAACGTTTGTAAAGCGCATCTCCGTGAATTTACTACTCTTTATTTCATCAGTCCGTCCGTCTACTTCTTTGAGATGTGAACTGACTGGTTCATACCTCGAATGTCCAGCATTGTTAGTTAAAGTATACTCTCTTTCACAGCTAGAACAGTCAGCAGTTGAAGTTAACTTACAGTCATCTAAAATATTGTCAAAATGATATACTGATGCGCAATGGTGATTTTGTGACGATTTGTTCGCTTTGGACATAAGATCGAGGTTAAGGTCAACCAGACGTTTCCAAGGAACCATGGGATTTTTGGAGAGATACTTAGATCTAAATGTCGTAGGTTTATTCACATTTTGTTCGATTGGTTCACTATCCATCATTACACTGAAACGTGTACTAATATAGTGATCTTTATAAAGTTTATAGGCCTATTCCGAGCTCTCTGTATATTAGGCTACACATTAAAATGAATTAATCATCAGTACATTTACAAATACCTACAACTTAATACTATCTGTACTTTTTATCTTTGATTGTACGCTTTTAATTTATCGCAAAGAGCAGATATAGAATCTCTTAATTTTCTTACTGCAAAAAGCATAATAACGCGGGATGATTATCTTGAAATTGTCCACTTCCTTTTCCTCAAAAGCACATTTTACAATGACGTCATATTTATATCAATAAATAACGAAGTTTATTTTTGTTCCTAGATTAGGACTTTCATATAACTAGCATAACCCACTAGCTACGACCTTCGATTAGTTTCCAGTCTATATATTGTTTATTATATATGCCATGGATCCCCTCCTTTTTTTCTTACTTATAACAATAATAATATAAAAGTAAACGCTCCAAGATACATTCCTTTAGCCAGCGACTTCTAGTATCTATTACGCTGCATCACTTCTCTCTTTGACCCCCTCCCCGCCTTAAAAAAATTTCTGCTTTTAAGTTCGTATTCGAAATATTTGTTTGGCTCAATTTTTTAAAATTTATTTTGGCGTAGGCCCTTTTAACTTACTAGGCCTACATCCTGCTCGCTAAGCTCACATAATACTTTGGCTGCACAATTCCCTTTTGGTCAGTTTATTCTAGCATGTTGCGTTTCAAGTCCTGCCGAACAGACTCACTTCTAGCCTGTGTCTCATTTCTTCTACCTAGCCTTTAGAAAGCGAGCTGTGTGAAATCAAACATTCGAGTGGATGTATACATTCCATTCACCAGGATTGTTTTTCATGGGGAGCCGAGAATTTGGGCGAAGTAAAATGTTCCATTTTTTAAATAGGCCTATCTGTCATGTATTAGTTAATAGGAGTGAAATAATAGCTCTATAGAAAAATCAGCAGACTCTTAAAAATGGAGTTGTCTTTAAAAAAAAAAAAATGTAATCGTTTTTGATGTCACCTATTTTAATATTCGGAGGCGGCAATACCAAAATGTCTCCTGGTAATGTACCTTGGTCTTCAGTTCATTGAAAGACCAGCTCTACGATAAAGTGTTGAAAAAAAAAGAAAAAAGAACCAAACCCCTGTATTAATAGGATCTATTTATTGTTTCAATTACTTTTATTTATTGTATACTGACAAGTAGAGGAAAAAGAACCTCTTTCTACAGAGTAGTCTTTCTTTTTGGGTCATTACAAGTATGATTCTATTTTATGACATAAATACAGAAAATGGTTATAGCCCATTTAACATTAATGTATATTCTTAAAGTATATTTTGTGTGTTTAACAAACAGGATCTACAGATGTTCATTTTTTTTAAAAAAAGCTTTTTGATTAATTATCCTTTAAAAAAACAGAGATGCATTTCAGTTTAAATTTTAGCGTCAGTAATGTTACAGCTACCATCAATATCTATATTTCTAATAAACTTGGTATTATGGTTACCATTCTAATATTTCTATATATTAAAAGATTTCCTTGTGAATACATGGGCAGATTTTTTGTGAGAGTAGACTAATAAGACACTTGTGTTATACTAATGAATAGAAACATAGAACTAAAAAAAAACAAAAAAAAACGTAAGATGGCTGATTCTGACTAGCACACACACACACACACATATATATATATATGTATACAATAAACTTAGATTTCAAATGACAAAACATACAACTTGGCAAATACAAAATAAAATAAAAATAAAATACAATGCAACTTAAATAAAAGTAATTTTCCTTATCTTGCTGCAAATTGTTACACTTGATAAAAAAAAAGAACATAGCCAAAATGTAAATGCAAGTAGACAGCCTTTTGAGTTTTATGTCAATATCGGCACACAGATAGTCAATCAATATCACAAGAGTGACATAATAAAGTGCTAAATCTGTTATATGAGCTAGTTAGTTAAATAAGAAAGTTTAAATATATGTATTAATATATATATATAATACATACCTACTTTGTATGGCTAGTACCCCCTCCCCCCCCCCCTTTTTTTTTAAAAATTACTTTACTTGAATGCTTATTAATAAGAGAACTAATCAGTGGCAGCCAGAGTGGAGAATAAAAGTCATGTGGGACTAAAATAATTAAAAAAATGAAATTACAGTTGGTAGATATAATGAGAACAAAAAAAAATCTGAATTGATTGCCACTTTCCCTCGTGTGCTGCTTTGTAGTCCAAATATCACATGTAATTTTGTCAATAAACAAAAAAAAATGTCTTCCAATAATGATTCACATATTTAAAAACAAAAAAAAAATTAATTTCAAAACATAGTGTTTTTGTTAAATTCTTGAAATTGATCATCAGAAAATATCACAGAAGTGTATTCTATTTTTTAACAAACAAAGCAATTTTTTTTGGGATGCAAGCATTTAAACATATTTGTTTTTGATACATATTACAACTTAAATGCTAAAGGATAGTAAATTAGTTTTCACATATGAGAAAAACAATTTTAACAGAAGAATATAATGTATGTTTTAATTATTACTTCAAAGAAAAATATATTTTGCTTCTTTATCATTGCATTCTATAATTTAAAAAAAATAAATTCTAATGCTAAAATCAACTACATCAATACTGATTACAAATAATTTTATTTTACATCTTGATAATATAGCACCAATTAACTCTGCATGCTACAAAAAAAAGGTACAAGACTTAATATCATTGTACATGATGGCCTGGTAAATAACCTTATATAAAAATTTTATCGCTTTTCAAAATATCAATTAGTAGATCTAGGATCAAAGAAACAATGTCAATTGTTTAAAATTGTGGTAACCAATCAACAGTTAATTATATATGCTTGCTTTAATTACACAAAGCAATATTAATATATAAGCTAGTATACTACAAAAATATTCTATAAGAAAAACATCACTAATAATTGAGGGTGGAGAGTGTTAAATGCATGATGTCATGTGCAAGAAGCTTTTCATTCTCACCTCCTACTTAAAAAAAAAACTATCCTATACGATAACAATTAACCAAATTCAATGGAAAAAAAAAGGCTTTGATGAAGACAGAAAACAGTTAAATAAATTTAACAAAAAAAATGGTGGTTAATGATTTTAAATGCAGAAATAAAAGATTTCATGAATAGGAACTCTTAGACATTTTCTAAACATGAAAATCATGTCATAGTGAGATTAATAGCAACAAAATATTTCAAACATTTTGCAAGAGATCAGAAACACTAAAGTTTGTCAAGTCATCAAGCTTTAGTGGCTGCAGATGACCACATAGGATTCACTACAGTATGTCAAGCATCAAGCTCTAGTTGCTGAAGCGTGTCCAAATATTAAATTAAAAAAAAAAATGTCTTGCTCAAAGTATAAAATTAAAAAAAAAAAGATTTTATTTTTGGGAATAATCCATTCCTAGTTTTATAAATATTTATTAAGTACACATACACTATAGACTGTCATAAAAAGAAAATGCATCAGATTTATATTTTAAATATTTAATATAAGTGTTTCAATTACTCTTTAAAACATAAAATTTAAATAAATTTTTTTTGGCTTAACACATTAACATTTTAAAAATTAATTTCATAATATTGCTAACACAAAGTGCATACAAGATGATATTGAAAGTAAAGTTTCATTAAACCCAAAGAAACACTCAATGAAATTACTCAAATAACTTGCCAGCACAGAGTGTGATAATACTTTTAATTTGCAAACAGAAGCACTGTAAACTATAAGTTTTCTTAGGTTTTAAATCTACTTAGTACAAATGATGCAAAAAGAAATAAGGAATGATTAGCATTTAGACTAACAAATGAAATTTAACACCTAGATTATACCTTTTTTTTTTTTGGACCAGATCTGGTAAGAATAAATAAAAATAGTTCTCGATATGAAGTATACAAAAATAAAAAAAGGGATAAAAAAAAAGGCTAGCTCGAATTTTACTTGTACAAATAGTTAACAACCAAATACATCAGCTTTCTTACAACATAGGCTAATTCTTGTGAAAATATCATATATTAACTTGATCTGCACTTCTGAGTGATCAAGAGATTGCCTAAAAGTGAATACCAAAGAGTTTGCTAGTACAGTTGGAAATAGAGTGGGCATACATCCTGTCACCAAATCAAATCATCTGGATTATACACAAAGATATGAGACAAACATGACAATGAGTGTTCTTTACATCTGGTCCCTCTTAAATAGTTGAGCTTTCAAGAACACTCTTGTTCATTTAAAATACTGTTAAAAGAAATTACAGAGCTATGCCTGTAACAAAAGTTTAGTTCAAACGAATACGACTCCTGTAATTTGAAAATTCACATACATAGGGTACCCCGACAAAATAGCGCAGAAAAAATATATTTCAGTCATTTTGAAAGTAAAACTTTAGATATCATAAAATATAGAATGAATAGAGCCAATGTTTTTATAGGAAACACTTAAGATATCTTAAAACATAAATCTGCAAATAGTAAGCAAAAATTATAATAAGTTAAGATGAATTATTTCAAAATATATCATTTATTTACATTCCAAAAGTGTATTTTAAAACAGGTGTGACTGGAAGTTGATTGAGGCCTACAATCCAAATTGACAATCCTAAATTTAATATCTAAGTGATGGTATTAGACAAAGATGGACAGGGAATAGCAAAATTAAAGATTGAATTGGTCAGTCACTGCAAGAGATGAAACAAACGTTTGGCGAGATAAGAAATGTGATCGCCATCTTAACTAATCCTGATACACCTAAGTTTGTCAATGTTGCTGCAAAGACTCACTGTTTTGATCAAGAAATATGCAGCAGATTTCTTATTATAGCATAACACACTGTAAGACATGCATCATCATATATCAAACCCTTGAATGGGGTCACCACTTTTCAAAATCCTATTTTTAGCAAGTTATGCATTTTAAACATTGGTGAAAAAGGGGAATGATATAAAATTTAAAGTGCTCTCGTTCTCTGCAAATATGGCATACTTTCAGATCTATTAATTTCGAAAAAGATAGAGACCTCAACAAAAATGTAATTTTAAATTACTAATAATTCGGTACTTCTATACACATCGTATGCAAGTCCGCTTTATTTTGTTGGGTCACCCATACATAGGTATTAAAGGTTTTTTAAAAAATGCCATTTAGTTTTTTATTTTCAAAATCATAATTTTTGTTTTAGCAAATAAAGTAATGTAGAAGTAAGAATCTATTAAAAATATGCTAATATGTTTACCTTTTTCTTGTTTTTATAACAAAATTTATGAAAAACATAAACACCTCCCCCCAAAAAAATAGAGGAAAAAACCCCAGACAGACATATATATTTAGTTTTCACATGAAGAGAAACTACCAAATCAGATTTATGAAAAGAAAAAAATATATACAAAATTATATACACTCTGGTCTTGAAAGAACAGTAATAAAAGTTTTTCAAGTTTAAACTCACAGCAAATCTGTAAAAACCCAATGACATGTTATTCTAAGTTGGTGATTTAAATATTGTGCCAGATGTTGGCTGAAAGACATGTGTTCTTTTGTATTCAATTGACAAAAAAAAAAAAAAAAAAGATCTTTAATGCTTGGATTTACAAGGCATATATTATTCTTAGGAGCTGGGCTCTCCTTTCTGCAGCATGTTGTTTGGTGGAATGTACCTGGTCTGAAGTCTGCACTTATCAGATAAAAGCTTTTTTTTTTTTTTTTTTTCCTGTTGGTTGAAAATCTTAACAACCCAATAGGAAATAGATCTAAATTACAGATCAAAACAATCAATAAGAAAATAATTACAGTACAAAATAATCAATAAGAAAATAATCACAGAACAAGACAATCAATGAGGTATACATGAAGGAAGGCAAGAGTGACAGAAATGATTAATGGTTCAATGTAAAACAAAAATATGGAAGAAATGATGCCCTTTAAAGAAAAATTATTGAAAGCACATCTCAAAAATGTACCTTTAAATGTTTTATTTTCCATAAATGAAATATAAGTTTATAGAAATATATTTTTAGTAAATAAATGTTCTTTATCAAATATTGTATCAGTTGTTTTTGTTCCAACTTTTCCCAACCCTTAAACAAAATTTCTAGTAATAAAATTTAGGTTAAATTGTTTTTTCTGAAATAGTCACACCTAAGTGTATGCTATAATAATTTTATTTTAAATGAGACTACCTTTAATTCCTTGTATCTGATGATAAATCTAAATTACTGAAATCAACATTCCAATATTAGCAATATATTTTAAAAGAAAAAAAAAAATTATGAACAAAAAAAAAAAAAAAAAAAAAAGTAAAGTTCTTAAACAAAATTCTCAACTTTACAAGATAACAAAACAAAAACCCAACTTGGTCATAAAGTTAATTTTAACAAAAAGACAATGTTTTTCTACTTTCAAATTTTTTTTTTTATAAATTATATATATTCTTATGGCATTACAGCTTATAAATTAATTAGCTGTCCTACTGGATCACAGCAATGAATTTGCTAAGTATTACAGTTATTAGCAACAAAAACTTTTCAATAAAATCTGCTATCTGTAAAACAATGTTCTTCTTTTCGATTTCCATGTAGTAACAACTTTAATTATGCTTGCATAAAAAGACTCTTCACAAGGTGACAAAGATTTTTAAAAAACAAATTAAAATTTCTTATCTTTGACACAAAACTAGACTGCAGTAAAAAAAAATGTTTTTTTTTTGCAACAAAGAAAATATTGCACTTCATCTATGTCATCTGAACGAATTGCGAAAAGTCTTTTTATGCACACACATACAAAAATTAAAATGTGTATATATTTAGATATATATATATATGATTCATATCACAATATATTTATGTATATCACAGAGATCTCTTCAATATGTTCGCATCCATAATTCCGGTTCTGTGAAGTAGTGTTATGTTGGATGTTCAAGTACCAATGGTTGTTTAGTTTTTTAAATGAGTATAAGTCGGTTGTCTTTTGATATTTGTTGATGGCCATCTCTTCATAGCTTTAGAAGGTG